AAATATCTCACCTTGCAGAGTAACATTAACAGGGATTTTCGAAATTGGAGTTCCCATTTCCTTTGGTAAATGTGCTGCGACATCGTTGAGAAACGTCTCCACGGTAGTGTCGTCGGGATCTTCCACAGTCCCTCCTACACCTGGTATTTCGCATTTTACCTCCACGAGCCTCTTTTTGCCGTTTCGAAGGTTGAGTATTATGGGATACGTAGTGCGGGCCTCTAAGGTGTTGGCAGTTTTACCGCGGCGCATTGGGAGAAGATATCGCCCGATCAGACGGTTTATCAGGGTGGTCTTTGCCATGTTTTGCCGACCGACCAGAACCAAATGCGGGAAGTTGAAGGCTTTGCGTAAAGTGTCGTTGCCTATCATAGATTGAATAAAGTCAAGAACCACACCAAACTTACTCAGTTTTGCCACATTTGGCAACAGGTGTTCCGGTGACTTCACCAGACATGGTTTACTTTCTGCAATGATAAAATAGACCATTGAGGGGTCAGTCATCTTTTATCGCAGTGAAGGGGAGGCAAGAGAAGTTTTGGTGGTGTCACATGTTTTTCAGAGGGCACAGAGGGGAATCCGGTGTCGCCACAGAGTGTAAAGAGAGCAGCGTTGAAAATTGACCGCCAACAGGAGCCCATAGTGGGCTTCTGCCGCCAATTAATTGCTAGTGAGGGGGGGAACGGGACATAAGCATAGCAAAGAGCCCTATGGGGGAATCAGGTAAATGTCATTTTATCAGAATTGGCAGTAATGTTGCAATTTAATCAGCTGATTTGCCGTTGGCGATATGAATACTGACAACGCTGCTTGCGTCAACCATTCACGCAATGGTCACGCACTAAAAGAATCGTTTTATTTGACCTCGATATTGTGGTAAAAAAGCAAATCGACAGAAAGTGGTTTAATATGTTCTGAAAAAAAAAAACAAGATCGTTAACGACAGAAAGTGGTTTAATGTGTTCTGAAAAAAAAACAAGATTATTAAAACATTATCAGGCACCTCTTGTCATTTAATTTTTAGACTACCTTAAATCTAGCTATAAATAAAAGGTTTGGTTTATGGCAACGTAAAATAAATTACAACAAATGGTATTTGTGATTTGTGATATCGAACTACAGAAAATATGCTCAGCTTCTGTATTCCTTATTCCATAATCCACACGAAATGTGTTTGAGAACCTTTCGTACTCGATCAACGAGGACCCGCACCAACGTATTATTTCAAACGATATCACAATTAGCATTAAAACGAGGCAATTTCAATTTTTTCAAAATATCTCTTTGGAGATGCACGCAGACAACACGTGATCAGGTGACCCTTCACAGGATGTGTACGGGAGGACTGGAGCTGAAACTCTGGGATCAGTTACCGATTTCAAAGGTCAAGAAACGATCAAGGTAATTGGAGGTTTCTTCTTGCGACATTTCTTTCGCTCTTTCTGAGCTTTGGTCGACAAACGAGGTTTCAAAAGCCGTAAAATGTTTGACTCCAGAT